AGGACAACAGAACCAGCGCCCTGACAGTAGCCCAGCGCGCCAGAACTGCCCAGGACAGCCTCCATTTCGCTACCCACTTCGCCTATGGAGTCCATCCTTTTTCCTGCGTACCTAACCAGGATGGAAGCCTTGCCAAAAACACCAAAACCCCCATGTGAGGCGCCTGAACCAGAGCCTGTGGACGCTTGTGCGGCAGCGACAGCCAACGAGGTTTTTCCCCCTCCTCCTCCTTTGACTCTTGCAACTCCAAGGGCTCCAAGACGACTTTTTTCAACCCCAATTTCACCACTCCTCATGGCACCAATGAAGCTTCTTTATCCCACCTCTTTCAAATCTCCAATACCCACTTCAAAAATTTCATCCAAGAATACCAACAAAATGATCTTGAAAAACTTCAACCCTTGCCTCCCTTCTCTTAAGTCTCAAAGGAATGAAAGAAAACTTAGCTCACAAAAATGGGCTCTCAAGGTTTTCAAGAGATGGGTGCTCAATCTCAAAGTGAATGAAATGGGTAGGATGAAAAAGAAGGTCATATTTATAGTCTAGGGTTTTTAAAGAGAGAAAAGCTCAAATTGAAAGTTATGGGCTCTTCTAAAAATCTTAGCAAAAATGAAAAAAACTTTAAGTATGCAAAGCAAAAATGAATTGTGGAGGGAAAGAGTCATCTAGCAGAAGAAGTCTCCACCACTTATAACTCAAGGAGCAAACTAATGCACCATTTTTCAAGTTTCGTTGAACACGGGGCATTGGGGGGCAAATGATGGGCCAAGTCTAAATGGCCCAATCTATGTGGAAAGTCTAAATCCCAATTGAGGAGCCCAACCTCATTAAAAATCTACCAAGCCTAACATAGTCCAAGACCAATCAGACACTCTACTTAGCCACATCATCAAGAGGGAGAACATGGGGACCTTGCTTGCACCGTAGAAGGAAACGGTCCACCCTCATCTTATCTTTGATCACATCTCATGGGGAGCTCCTCAACGACCTCACCCATTGAGAAGAAGTCGTGAGCTCCACCAAAATGGTTGTTTGGTTGCTGAGAAATAGCCCCAACCTGTTAGGGGGCTACTATAAATTGCACGCCCCACCAACACTTGGGGGGCATCACACTTTACTTGAGCACGACTCTTTCTCTCCCTCAAAGCTTGTACTCTCTGCTCCCCACACCCTTGAGTTAATAAAATACCCGACAACTAGAGCCATTGAAGAGTGGACGTAGATCGAACTGACTGAACCATTATAAATTGTCTATGCCTCTTCATCTCTTGATATTATTTTCTTGGATTTATTATTCACACTTGACAGGTGGTGTGCAATGTCATTTTGTGCATCATCACCTATTATAATGATGTAGAGTAAATTTTGGGTGTAAAGGTGATACAATATTATTAACATCACGTGGTGTCATCAAAAAACTATAAAACAAAAAATAAGATTGGTAAACCCTACTATTCTAATATGACATAACAATTATTAGATAAGGTGGTTATTGTTAGTTATTAAAACAACGGAGCCCACTAAGTTTATTTTGTATTTTATCATTAGTTGGTTATTTTTTTTTTTGGTCAGGTATCACTAGTTGGTTCACCGAGTGACATTGATAATATGGTATTACCGTTATATTCAATATTTTCTTGATGATGTGATATCACCATTACATTAGATATTTGCTCCACTTCTTGGTCTATCTATGGCCCGATATTTTATTTGATACAAAGTGTATCAGATTGTATCGATTATTCCCTTGATCCATCGGGATGAACCCTAATCCAATTGGGTGTTCCTGGATTTGGTAACTCCTTAAAACATTAAATCAATTTGCTATAACATCAACATAACTCCCTCTTCACTTCATAAACTATTTATGAGCATTAATTCATGCCAAACTGATACATGGGCATTATAAAACCCAAGGAAGAAAGATGTAACTCTATGCAGCCTGAGATCTCAATTCCTGTTCAATCATGTTGACCCATCAGCCCCTCACAGCCATGGTGATCCTTCTGCTATTTGCAGCCCCTTGGTACGCCATGGCCGACACTTTGGTCGTAGAGAACCGAAGTACAAGGCATAAGAAAGCTCGAATCACTTGTTTCCACAAATCTACTCACAAAAAACCTTTTTATGTCGACAAAGTGTCTGCAAAAGAGGTAGCGCGAGTTCTTGTGCCCCAGAACTTGACTCAAGCATTTTGCTTGGGGTCATATGGAAGTAACCTCGTAACTTTGTACGATGTTAAACAAGATCATGAGAGATGAAAGGACAAATGTTCAATAGTCTTATTGAACAATGGTTACCACAGGTTAAATGAGAAGACCAAGAAGTGGGAGCTTATTCCCTCCAGAAAAAAACATGTTGGATCACCTAAGGTATCACCCTCTGGATTACCAGCAGCTAAATCGCCCACTAAATTGAGATTAATCCACAGATCAAAGGAGTCAATTACATGCTGAATCGCCTGGGTTATTGCCTAATAGATCATCAAGATTGTCACATTCTAAATCACCCAAGGTATCACCCTCTGGATCGCCACCGGCTAAATCACCCACCAAATTGAGATTAATCCACAAATCAAGGAATCAATTACATGCTGAATCGCCAGGGTTATTGCCTACTAGATCATCAACATTGTCACATGCTAAATCACCCAAGGTATCACCCTCTGGATCACCACCAGCTAAATTGCCCACCAAATTGAGATTAATCCACAGATCAAGGGATCAATTTCATGCTGAATCGCCCGGGTTATCACTTACTAGATCATCAAGATTGTCACATGCTAAATCACCCAAGGTATCACCCTCTGGATCACCACCAGCTAAATTGCCCACCAAATTGAGATTAATCCACAGATCAAGGGATCAATTTCATGCTGAATCGCCCGGGTTATCACCTACTAGATCATCAAGATTGTCACATGCTAAATTGCCCGCCAAATCCCTCAAGTTATTGCCCACTAAAACACACGTTGTGATTCATTAGATCAACAACGTAATGACTCATTTCTGTCATGTCTTTATGTATGATCGATTGATTTGGAATAGAAATGAAAAATGGTAAAATGTTTAAAACCATGGCTGTTATGTTCAAGTGCTTGTGTGAGCTATGTTTATGGAATCTTAAACCCAAAGTACTTTTAGAGAATTGAATGTTTTAGTTTTTGTGCATGACAATTGAGAGACAGTTCCATGTTCAATGTAGGTTAAGCTAATGCTATTACATAGGCTCTCTGGAGTCACTTACGTTAGTAATGGAGGCATGCACAAATATTATGTTACTCTTCAAATTTGTTGAAATTATTTTTTTTTAATCCTATAAAGAAGAAAGAAAGGAGAAGAGAGACGATTGGGATGCATCCTATTAAAGCGCAAGAATTTAAGATAGAATTGTGCGAAATTGCAAATCTAAAGGGGTGGAACGAGAGTTCATGAGATTAACATAAAACCCTTATTTTCCTTGATGTATATGTAGTGTTCCTCTCAAATAGAAGGTCACGGGATCAAATTTCATCAGAGCCAAAATGTCAATGCTCTTCTTTAGATTCTCTCTTTTGTCGAATGTGTATTTTTTTCTCCCGATTCTTTTTTGGGTATTGCATCTTCTACCCGTTATAGGTATATCGATTGCAATTGAATATGCTAGTGCCCCCCCCTCCGTCCCACTTGTTCAATGCACAAGTCTTACAACTCATTATCTTCATTTTCGTTTTTGTTCTTTATTCTCCTTCATCTCCGTACTATTATCACTTGAGAGGTTGGATAAAAAAATTACTGGGTTTACTAGAGAGTAAAAGCAATTTTTTAGATAGATTTAAACAAATATTGGAAAGTTAGTGGAGGAAGAAATGAGCGAGTAAAAAGAGCACATGAAATCTCCTATGAAATTGATAGATTTTGAATTTTAAGTAGCTTTGAAGCCCTCCTAGTTTTAAATGGATAATCACCAAAACAAGAAGAGTATTTTGAAGTGGTCCAGGTCATTATTTGCTCTCATTGTTTTGGCATTGACATTGGCATNTTTTAAATGGATAATCACCAAAACAAGAAGAGTATTTTGAAGTGGTCCAGGTCATTCTTTGCTCTCATTGTTTTGGCATTGACATTGGCATGGCTCATAGTGAATGTGTGTGTGTGTGTGTGTGAGAGAGAGAGAGAGAGAGAAGCATCTTAACCATTTGCGAAGACTCAAATGTCAAAAGCTGTTTGTGACTTTATTCAAAGCAGAGGTCCATGCCATATTTTTTGATAGCATACCAAGAGTGCATAGGAAGCAATACATATTTTTTTGCTACAAGTTGTTCAAGTTTATATCGATTATTTTTTTGAACTTTGAACCGATCATCGTTATTTGAACTAATTTAAAGACATGTTCATTAAAGAACAAGGATAATTGGCCTTTAGAGAGTAAAAAGTCTCGTTTCATTCAATTTCACTATACTTTCACATAATAATAGATCATACATCATGTACGATGAGAATCTTATTTGCACTAATGATATTCAATCTACTATCGAGTGAAAGTGAATGGACTAAGTTGACTTGGTTTGGAAAGGGAAGTCTACAATTAAAGGGGAAAATAAGCAATTCTTGCAAACTTCATTCAACAACCCCCCACAATGTATAGTTTCTAACATCATCTGTTAATTGCTAGAGGAGCAAAAACTCAAGTTTTAGACAAAGCATCAAGGCTTAGTTTGGTGTCGGCGTGGAATCAACTTTTGAGTGCTGGGATTTTGTCTTCTATTTGTCTAGTTACTTTTACAAAAGCCAAAGCACACAAACAAGTCACTACTGTTGTTCACTTGGGAAATAAATCTCCACGTCATCCCTCCCTTCACCTGCCACACACTTCACGTGCTGGGCATGTGTCTATCAAAAGGAAGACTCATTTAACATCTCACCGGTGACCATATAAATGCCAAGCGCCGCCTATATTTCCTCCCCCTCTCTCTCCCTTTCTCTCTCTAAGAAACCCTTCGAAAATCGATACTTGTCGCAATGAATCGTCTTTACGCACCACCACCATTTCTCACCATTACCGATGGTGCCACCACTACCGCCGCCGCCGCCACAAACCCAGTTGTCACTCAACCTCAACTATACAACAATGGAAACAACCAACATGACTCATCCTCATCATCATCAATCTTGATAGTAGCCCTCGTCATTGCCTCCGCAATCGTTGTTTCCACCATCATCTACCTTCTCCTCCGCTTCTTCTCCCGCTGCTTCCACAGCTCCTTGTTCGCCGCGGACGACGTCGTTTCACGAAGGCACCACTGCGCCAACGAACGACACTTTCACTCTCTTCCTCTATTCAACTTCGGTTCCGTTACAGGAAACCTCACCGGCGGAGACTGCGCAGTTTGTTTGTCGAAGTTCGAGCCACGAGACCAGCTCCGACTATTGCCTCTCTGTTGCCACGCGTTCCACGCTAGCTGTATAGACATGTGGCTTTCATCGAATCAAACGTGTCCGCTTTGCAGGTCCACCGTACATCCTACGGAGTCTGACGTACTGAATAAAATCCTTTCGCAGTCGGAAACCGAAAATCGCAGCAACGGCGGCAATGGGAACAGTTTTCGGATTGAGATAGGAAGTGTCAGTCGCCGGCGAGATACGTCGGACTCCGGCGATGACAGGACGTCTTATTCCATCGGTTCATTCGATTACATTGTTGGCGATGGATACGAAGTGTCATTGGGTTCCACAACACATCATAGAGGAGTCTCCGATTGTACGCCAGTCGATAAGGAGTCGACCGGAGCTCCGGAGCCAGCGGGAGAGAGCTTAGCGAGTGAAGTTGGCGGTGAACGAAGTTGGCTGAGAGAATATGTTGATCGATTACCTTTTCTTTCTGTCTCTTCACGCGCTACGTCCTTTGGAAACTCTGGGAGGTTCTTCGCTGGACTCAGTCGCCGCAGCGAGGCCTTTGTCCCCATCGACGACGTGGAAGCCGACCGAATCGGAGAAGAGATCAGTGAAATGTTTCGGTGGCTCTCGGGGTATGACACGTAAATTGATTGCTTAAGTTAGAATAAATTGCATATTCTATATAATACTATAATACATGTAATTTGATTGATTAAATTTGGGTAAATTGCATATTCTATATAATACTAAAATTTATAATTTTTTTTGGGCTAAATGTTTTGGGTCTAATCGCAACGAAAAATATGAAGATCAATTTTATGAAAATAAAATTTTTTAGGGTCATTGAATAATAGGTTAAAGTAATATTTTTTTTTCTTTTTAGTACAACAATTCAGAGTGTTCGAGTGAATTTATGCACATGTCGACTAATTTTTTTTCTAATTTTGTCAAAGATAGACCATTTATGTCAAAACTAAAAAATTCATGAAAGATAAATTTTTCATGGTCGGTCAATGTGATAATATTTTGGAATTAANAGACCATCTATGTCGAAACTAAAAAATTCATTAAAGATAAATTTTTCATGGTCGGTCAATGTAATAATATTTTGGAATTACTACCTACCCAAAAAAAAAAAAAAAAGTTACTATTTATCGTATGTTTGAGATTGATCTTAACTTGTTAAGATTGTAAAATTCTCAAAAAAGTTGTTAAAGATGTCAAAATATTAGTCTTAAAAATTCACCCACGTGATTGAGTGGTTGCAACTTGCAATATCATTATTGCTAATGAATTAGTTGCCTTTAAACTTTAAAGAGTTGTTGAGTGACCCACGAGATGTGAGTGTGTGATTTAGTTGGAGACAAAAATTTGCGGGTGGATTTAGTAACAACTTAGTCCGGTCTGGTGCATTCGGTTCCCGAGATTATTTAGAATTTTATTCTGTGACTTAAATGTACGATGATGTTCAAATTTTCGATAGAATAGAATGGTCTTACTGTTGCACTGCAGGCAGGCAGGCAGGCATGAAGTTTTTAATGAAGGTAGTGGGATTTTAGCATAAATAATAGATTAAGAAGGATGTTGCATGAATGAATCCCACCCAAAAAAATTGATAAGAATCACTCGTCAAAGAGATAATATGTATTTAAATGATAACTTTTTGAATTTCATTTGAATTGTTTAACATTACTCTATATTTTCTCTTCAATTCCCTTCTGGACATATCACCCACCATTAATGAGTAAATGACCCATTTGTATACAATAAGTCTCACTTAAATGTATGTATAATAGATGATGTGCCAAGAATGAAATTGAATGGAGAATATTTCATTCCGATGATTCTCTGGTATGTAAAAAACGTTAAAACACTCAATTTCGTGCAAATTAAACTTCAATAATGCAACTACAAAGACCAGATTTTCAAATTCATTTGTTTATAGACGTTGAAAAGTTGACGTCAGGCACATCCAAGATGTGAATATGATGAAACAAAATTTTAATATTTCTAGAGAAAAACATAAAAGACGAATCAGAACAGAACATCCAACTGTAATTTCTAGTGCAGCCGGGGTACCTAATAACCGTAGTAGGTCATAAGATAGCCAGATCTCTGCAAAATGCTGAAGTTAGCTCTACTCGACCACAGCCAGCAAGTCACCCGCTTTACAAAAACAGTGACGACCATCTGTTCCCAAATCCACCTGATAGAGAGGAGGCACAAGCATTAGCTTCACATCCATCCCTTCATTTTGCAGAATGGCGATAACATAAAAGGAGTTCAACACTTCCTTCTTGTAATTGATAAGTGGATATGCAGCAGATAACTAGAGGACCATTTTCTGGAAGAGTGTAAAAAAGCACATGCAAAAGATGTTCATCGAGGCTACAGATATTTTGTCAAGGTCGACGTACACATATCGAATACTCAAGAATACATATCGCATACGCATCATTCATATCCAATAATTAATAAAACATATGGATACTTCGCAGATATGTNCTCTTCAATTCCCTTCTGGACATATCACCCACCATTAATGAGTAAATGACTCATTTGTATACAATAAGTCTCACTTAAATGTATGTATAATAGATGATGTGCCAAGAATGAAATTGAATGGAGAATATTTCATTCCGATGATTCTCTGGTATGTAAAAAACGTTAAAACACTCAATTTCGTGCAAATTAAACTTCAATAATGCAACTACAAAGACCAGATTTTCAAATTCATTTGTTTATAGACGTTGAAAAGTTGACGTCAGGCACATCCAAGATGTGAATATGATGAAACAAAATTTTAATATTTCTAGAGAAAAACATAAAAGACGAATCAGAACAGAACATCCAACTGTAATNTGATGAAACAAAATTTTAATATTTCTAGAGAAAAACATAAAAGACGAATCAGAACATCCAACTGTAATTNTTTGTTTATAGACGTTGAAAAGTTGACGTCAGGCACATCCAAGATGTGAATATGATGAAACAAAATTTTAATATTTCTAGAGAAAAACATAAAAGACGAATCAGAACAGAACATCCAACTGTAATTTCTAGTGCAGCCGGGGTACCTAATAACCGTAGTAGGTCATAAGATAGCCAGATCTCTGCAAAATGCTGAAGTTAGCTCTACTCGACCACAGCCAGCAAGTCACCCGCTTTACAAAAACAGTGACGACCATCTGTTCCCAAATCCACCTGATAGAGAGGAGGCACAAGCATTAGCTTCACATCCATCCCTTCATTTTGCAGAATGGCGATAACATAAAAGGAGTTCAACACTTCCTTCTTGTAATTGATAAGTGGATATGCAGCAGATAACTAGAGGACCATTTTCTGGAAGAGTGTAAANCTACCTTCTTCCCAGCTTCCACTTCCCCAACCTCAGCACCAACTGAAAGAATCTGCTGGGAATAAAAAGAACAAATCCATTACATAAGCAATTCTAGGTAAGGAAAGCCAAATTCTGTTATATACGAGCTTGCATGGGAACATGCTGTGTCTTGCTCACCTCCCCCATCAGGTAACGCTCAAATTTCACCGCTGATTTGGGCAGCAAAACTCCACCAGCTGATTTCTGTGTACAAAGTTTTCATCCATCAATATGAAGGCATGGGGTGTATTTGCAAAAGTGTGCAAGGGCACAATCAGTTCAGAGCTACTTCAATTTGAATTCCAGAAATCAAATAAAATAAAACCTACATAACAAGTTTGTGTAGGACATACAAACCACTTAGATGACAAAAGATCCACCCGCTGAGATATAACCCTTTAAGGATAACAGCCAAATCAGCTCATACACAAATTCTCTTTTGCTGACATTTTTTTCCTACTAGTGAACAAAGTTCTAGGTTCAAGATATTGCAATAGTAGACAAATTCATATACCATAATTTGAAAGGTTACAATTCTAATGCACAAGGCGGGCCTGAAACTAGAGTGNAAAAAGCACATGCAAAAGATGTTCATCGAGGCTACAGATATTTTGTCAAGGTCGACATACACATATCGAATACTCAAGAATACATATCGCATGCGCATCATACATATCCAATAATTAATAAAACATATGGATACTTCGCAGATATTTNTTTGGGCAGCAAAACTCCACCAGCTGATTTCTGTGTACAAAGTTTTCATCCATCAATATGAAGGCATGGGGTGTATTTGCAAATGTGTGCAAGGGCACAATCAGTTCAGAGCTACTTCAATTTGAATTCCAGAAATCAAATAAAATAAAACCTACATAACAAGTTTGTGTAGGACATACAAACCACTTAGATGACAAAAGATCCACCCGCTGAGATATAACCCTTTAAGGATAACAGCCAAATCAGCTCATACACAAATTCTCTTTTGCTGACATTTTTTTCCTACTAGTGAACAAAGTTCTAGGTTCAAGATATTGCAATAGTAGACAAATTCATATACCATAATTTGAAAGGTTACAATTCTAATGCACAAGGCGGGCCTGAAACTAGAGTGCCTATGGTTTAACTCTGATAAAGAAATGCAGATCTCAGTAGGAATCTCCCCTTTTGCTCCCATAGTCCAGGCCTAGGATTCAAGCACACTATCTTCAGTATTAACATCGTCTGTGGTGACCTCATCAACTCTAAATGGATTGGGTAAATGTCAAGCACAAAAAACACAAAATTGATACAATTAAGTAGTATTATAAGAATAAAATGTCAAATTTTTATTAAANATCGTCTGTGGTGACCTCATCAACTCTAAATGGATTGGGTAAATGTCAAGCACAAATAACACAAAATTGATACAATTAAGTAGTATTATAAGAATAAAATGTCAAATTTTTATTACANACAAACCAATCAGGTAAATATGGTTCTAATTCCTCTAATTGATTAAGCTCATTTTATGAATATATTATAATGAGACAATATTACATTTTTTTCAAGATAAAAATTCATAATTTTGCTTACTAGTGTTAAAGAATTGTTGAAAAGTATAATTTTTAAGTCGTTAAATAATAATAAAATATGAAATAGATATTATTAGAGATGTATCATGGTCATATCCATCTCCAATTTTTGAAGTTTTATCGTATTGCCGTATCCGTACTTCTTAGGTGTAGATATATTGTCTAAGCATTGTGAAGCCTAGTTCAATACCGTGTCTAGCAAACAGATATTTTTCTAACCCTCCCCATTATTTTGCTGGACGAAAAACATTACATCAGAACTCAACAACAAACCCATTCATTCCACATGAACCTGTGGCAAACCAACCTACATAACCTCCCCAACCCGAAAAAAAAAATAAAAGGCTACAAAGTCGAGGTCAGCATTTGTCCTTAGTTCTATCATTGAACTTGTGTGTGACCCATTAATCAAGGTCCCTATTTCTTTGTTGAAGCTATGAGAATGTGCGTTCAAGATCCCTTCTCTCAAGAGATGATGAATTAAAAGTGCTTCACAATGCAGTCCCTAAGGTGGTTTTTTTTCCCAATAAGTCTCCATAACAACACTTTTAAACGAAAATTTTATTTGAATGAACAATCAAACAATTCAGTAAAAAATGCAACACAGGCATACGTCTATTGAAGAAAAATATATCAACGGCCTATCATCTCTGCAAGAAGATGGGAAGAAGCATGATGGCCCTATACCATCTAGGCAAAGGAGTAGAGGCATATTTGGAAGTCCCTATGAATGTTTGCATTATAAAGGCAATCCTAGTGCATGCTACACTGAGAACTTTAGCTTAATTTGTACCACATACCTCATAAGCATTTATGTCCGAGAAAAGAACCTGCAAAAGAAACGTCGCGTTTATTTAGACAATGGAAGCCCTAATAGAGCACATGAAGCAGAATTAGGGCTATTAACTATAAGTATTTCATTTCGTCACATCTTAAAAGTTTTGATTTGGTATATCATATAGTAAACATAATCGAGACTTCTTGTAAATGGTGCTCAACCCAAAGTAGAATACCAAATCAAAACTTTTATAAGCCTACCTTCTTCCCAGCTTCCACTTCCCCAACCTCAGCACCAACTGAAAGAATCTGCTGGGAATAAAAAGAACAAATCCATTACATAAGCAATTCTAGGTAAGGAAAGCCAAATTCTGTTATATACGAGCTTGCATGGGAACATGCTGTGTCTTGCTCACCTCCCCCATCAGGTAACGCTCAAATTTCACCGCTGATTTGGGCAGCAAAACTCCACCAGCTGATTTCTGTGTACAAAGTTTTCATCCATCAATATGAAGGCATGGGGTGTATTTGCAAAAGTGTGCAAGGGCACAATCAGTTCAGAGCTACTTCAATTTGAATTCCAGAAGTCAAATAAAATAAAACCTACATAACAAGTTTGTGTAGGACATACAAACCACTTAGATGACAAAAGATCCACCCGCTGAGATATAACCCTTTAAGGATAACAGCCAAATCAGCTCATACACAAATTCTCTTTTGCTGACATTTTTTTCCTACTAGTGAACAAAGTTCTAGGTTCAAGATATTGCAATAGTAGACAAATTCATATACCATAATTTGAAAGGTTACAATTCTAATGCACAAGGCGGGCCTGAAACTAGAGTGCCTATGGTTTAACTCTGATAAAGAAATGCAGATCTCAGTAGGAATCTCCCCTTTTGCTCCCATAGTCCAGGCCTAGGATTCAAGCACACTATCTTCAGTATTAACATCGTCTGTGGTGACCTCATCAACTCTAAATGGATTGGGTAAATGTCAAGCACAAATAACACAAAATTGATACAATTAAGTAGTATTATAAGAATAAAATGTCAAATTTTTATTAAATTTTATCAAATAGTGACCTAATTTTTATACAGAAAAAAGATATTCATTTTTATTATTATTTATTAAGTTAATTTTTAGTTTTTAAAAAAAGTACGTGCATAGGTTCGATTAAATGATAATAAAATTTTAGACATAAAACTAAATGTTAAACTTTTCATTCACATTTTATATGGGTCAACATAAACGCGATACAAAAATAAACTGATCAACACTACAAAATTAGTTAAATGGATTGAGTTAGGTTTGAATAATTGTTGACACGAATCCAAAATGGCACAACATGAACACAACTCAACCCAACACCATTACCACCCCTACCAACAAATAATAAAACCCAATAAACCAAAGGCCTCCCAATATTATTGTCAAAAAGTTCCAATCTTTACTCTAAATTCACAATCAGATTTCTGAACTTAACAAGCAGTAAGAACATAAGTAGTTAGTAGAATATATACCTCAGGTAGTTCCTCTAGACGAATCAAAACCCTATCAGCTTGTGGCACAACCTGTCGGCACAGTGAACACATACACTTTAAATCTATTTCTCTTTAATCAAAAAGAAACTTCAGATAAAGCATTAACACAGAGACTAGTGAATTTGGGTTAGAAATAGAACCTTGGTGGGTTCGTATTTCTTCGCAATAGCACTGATTCTCAGAGAATTTCTTCGTAGACCTGTTAAGACACCCAAGAATGCTATAATTTATTAGAAACAATGGTCTAAAGTAGAAATACATTAAAAAGAAGTGAAGGTTTAGGATTTCAGAAACCAACCCAGAAGTCTTTTGTTAGAGAGAGAAGGGGGGTTGGTGTTGTACGCAGTGAAGGGTTTCAGTACAGTCATGAGAGCGGAAGCCATTGATAAGAAATAGAGAGGAAAACTTCTAAGAATGAGCTAGAGACAGGAAGAGAGGAGATTGAACATTGTGCAGGCGTGCTTGTGGGTATATATAACGGCACGTGTTTGTCGCTGATTGGTTTCTCGTCAATGTTCTAGAGAGTTCCGAGACTGGCTCCGAACCGAATTAGAGACTAAACCCATGTCATAGTTTGGGTCTGTGAATCCGGGTTGTGTTGTTAGTGTGTGGGTGTCAATTTTACCCATTTAACACCAACCCGACATGAATTTGAGACAACACAAAATTTAAAAATAAAATGATTAATAGACACGAATAATAATAAATGAGTAAAATTAAAATTAAACATGAACAAATAAATAGGTGTTTTATAATTTTTTTAAATAGTATTATATAAATTGTTATAGAATTAACAAATTATATGACGCGAAAATAAACGATCGAAAATAACACAATACAAAAATATCACGATTAGTATGCTAAAGTTGACTCGCCCACATTGAACTCATGTAATGCACTTGAAATTAAGCTTGGATCAAATCAAGCGAAAATTGATTATTTAGAAATAATTTGGTAATAGTTAAAAAATCGTTTAAGGTAAAAAGTTACTTATTTTCATTTTGAGTCGTATTAAATTCATAAAGTACTCGGATTTATATAAATAACATGTGAATTTAAAACCCAAATACTGATAAAATCCACTACACTACGTATATGTCATTTACAAAATAAAATTATATTTTATTCAAGTCCTATTAAAACTAAATAAAAATTTGTGGTGATCCATTATGACTTGGATATCAAAGTTTCAAGCCGTAAAATATAGCATAATCAGCAGCTATTTCCAAACACACAAGAAGCTGAGCCCTAAGCAAGCAAGGTCTGGTGTTTTTAAGGCATGATAAGCATGACATGAGTAAGGGCATGGATTCAAACAATCCATGGAAAGAAAATCACTTTCTGCAGATAAATTTTCCCCGAAATGATGTATGTATTTATAGGGTTCAAACCAAAACCACCATGAATGCCAAAAAAGAAAAGACAGACAAAATTAAAGAGTTAGAATTCAAAGAGGCGCAACTCAACCATCCCCTCCTTTCTTTTTGGAGAATACCATGCTACCACTTTCCCAGAATGTAGAAGCCTCAGAGAGTAACTTAAACTATACATGAAATCCTCCAATTGTGGCCCACGTCTCCCAGATGATGAATCAATCAAAAACCTAGAATCGGCTCGAAAAACAATTGGCCCTGCAACCTGCAAAGATANCAGAGAGTAACTTAAACTATACATGAAATCCTCCAATTGTGGCCCACGTCTCCCAGGTGATGAATCAATCAAAAACCTAGAATCGGCTCGAAAAACAATTGGCCCTGCAACCTGCAAAGACANTTTCTTCGTAGACCTGTTAAGACACCCAAGAATGCTATAATTTATTAGAAACAATGGTCTAAAGTAGAAATACATTAAAAAGAAGTGAAGGTTTAGGATTTCAGAAACCAACCCAGAAGTCTTTTGTTAGAGAGAGAAGGGGGGTTGGTGTTGTACGCAGTGAAGGGTTTCAGTACAGTCATGAGAGCGGAAGCCATTGATAAGAAATAGAGAGGAAAACTTCTAAGAATGAGCTAGAGACAGGAAGAGAGGAGATTGAACATTGTGCAGGCGTGCTTGTGGGTATATATAACGGCACGTGTTTGTCGCTGATTGGTTTCTCGTCAATGTTCTAGAGAGTTCCGAGACTGGCTCCGAACCGAATTAGAGACTAAATCCATGTCATAGTTTGGGTCTGTGAATCCGGGTTGTGTTGTTAGTGTGTGGGTGTCAATTTTACCCATTTAACACCAACCCGACATGAATTTGAGACAACACAAAATTTAAAAATAAAATGATTAATAGACACGAATAATAATAAATGAGTAAAATTAAAATTAAACATGAACAAATAAATAGGTGTTTTATAATTTTTTTAAATAGTATTATATAAATTGTTATAGAATTAACAAATTATATGACGCGAAAATAAACGATCGAAAATAACACAATACAAAAATATCACGATTAGTATGCTATATGCTAAAGTGGACTCGCCCACATTGAACTCATGTAATGCACTTGAAATTATCAAAAATTGATTATTTAGAAATAATTTGGTGATAGTTAAAAAGTCTGATATGCTCGCTCGTTTAAGGTAAAAAGTTACTTATTTTCATTTTTGAGTCGTATTAAATTCATAAAGTACTCGGATTTATATAAATAACGTGTGAATTTAAAACCCAAATACTAATAAAATCCACTACACTACGTATATGTCATTTACAAAATAAAATTATATTTTATTCAAGTCCTATTAAAACTAAATAAAAATTTGTGGTGATCCATTATGACTTGGATATCAAAGTTTCAAGCCGTAAAATATAGCATAATCAGCAGCTATTTCCAAACACACAAGAAGCTGAGCCCTAAGCAAGCAAGGTCTGGTGTTTTTAAGGCATGATAAGCATGACATGAGTAAGGGCATGGATTCAAACAATCCATGGAAAGAAAATCACTTTCTGCAGATAAATTTTCCCCGAAATGATGTATGTATTTATAGGGTTCAAACCAAACCACCATGAATGCCAAAAAAGAAAAGACAGACAAAATTAAAGAGTTAGAATTCAAAGAGGCGCAACTCAACCATCCCCTCCTTTCTTTTTGGAGAATACCATGCTACCACTTTCCCAGAATGTAGAAGCCTCAGAGAGTAACTTAAACTATACATGAAATCCTCCAATTGTGGCCCACGTCTCCCAGATGATGAATCAATCAAAAACCTAGAATCGGCTCGAAAAACAATTGGCCCTGCAACCTGCAAAGACAATTAAGTTCAGAATTAGTCTCGGTTTAGCCCCTGTCGTTTCGCAAGTTGTTTCTATTTCTACATCTGTTTCTTCTACCCCCCCCCCCCCCCCTCTTTCTCTTCCATTTTTTGAGGTTTCTTAGTAAAAATGGGTGACATTATTCTCCCTAAATAATAGACACAGGTAATAAATAACAAAATGGCCTTGCCATCTAATAAACCATGTAAGAACTGGGAGTTTTGACTTAAGTACTCCCCCATTACACATGTATAATAATTCAGTAATCGTGGGAGATTTTAAAGTGAACTCTATCTTGTTTCTACTGATCAAAGGACATTTCTATCAACTTTTAGACAGGATTATCTTCATTGTTATATCAACCTCACGGTGCCATGTGCATTTAATATGTCTCAAGGTCAACATAACAGACTAAAACGAAAGAAGCAGCAAAGGCAAAAGAATATTGACATGCCAACTCTCTTTTTGTTATAAGAGCCAAAGCCAGATGTCTAGCAACGATCTTAAGCATCAAACTAACAACTGTTAACATTGGCATGTCAGATGCTCTGCAGATTCAATACGTGTTAAAATCTAAGAAAATTTTTCACAATAGCTACCAGACCCAGAGAGTCATATTATACTCTTTATATTCCGAGTTTATTGTCGTCATTGAAACTCGATAATTCGGTACTAAATGAATAATTAGTAAAGTACTTTTTATCATCAGCTATATGAGTTAACGAACCATCTAACACATTGGACAAAAATAGACAAGTACCTGCTGTTGGAAGATAAAACTGAGCCTGGGGGAAGACAAGGGATTTTCTGCATTACTATCTGAAGAATTCCTGAAAATGCTGGAAAACTTTTTCGTTAGGGCTGAAACTGAACAGACATCCAAGCGAGCATCTACCCTAGAGAGGTCCCCAAACAGCTTCCTGAATTTCCCATGCTGGAAAGTGTAGCAAACTGACCCAAATAGATCAGCACTGAAAGGAGTTCTACCCTTCCCACCCAGAGAAATGCTGTCCTCATCTTCTCTAGCCACTGAGTTCTTCCCACCACCAAACCATGCCGCACAAGTTGCACCTAAAGAAGTAGGGTTAAGGGAGATAAGAAGACGGTATTCATAAAGAGAAAACTTTATCTAGAAACAACAGTAAACGAGCATTATCTGCAAATCATGACTAAAGAAATCGAGGAAACAATGCATTTAGTATTTAAACGTAGATGGTTTTCTCAAAGCTCTGGAAAACCATGTAATTAAAGCCAATAGTTGCTGACCAAACTGATAAATGCAGCGAGCATGTTTCCGTGGACACAATTTTCCAAAGGAAAAGGAGGAGGAGGGGGGGGGGACATTTCAGATATGATGTTCTGAAAACTCTGGGAAACAATCTGGGAAAGCTTTGCTCACTCGGAAAAAAGGGAAAGTGTTGTTTCCTTTGTGACTGTAAGACCAATGCATACATGCTCAAGTATTTTCCTCATGATGCTACACTGATTTTTGTTACCAGTATCCTTCATCCCTGAACCTTCTTAGTTTCAGTATATAGTTCATCAGTTTGTCCCATAACTGTGCCATTCATTGGCAAATAGTTCTAGCCTTTCGTCTTTCCCATTAGAGATCCACAGACATTTTTCCTAATTCTATTTTCCGTGCAGTTTTCCACTCTTTATTCCATTGAAGAAATCAAAAAAGCACACCAACAATTACCTTATGTTATTTGTTTTTTCTTCACAGTTGTCTCATCCATATGTTTGCTCAGACATGTTTCTTGAAATGTTCCAATGACTCTACACTGCTATTGCACACACTGATAACACTTCATGCAGACAGAGTTACATACAAAAGCTAACAACTGATTAAATCTTGCAGTTGCTTGTGAATGACTTCTTCTCTTTGTTCAGTGGACAGCACAACAGCATGCTCTGACACAACTCAAATCCATACCACAACACTATCCATGCCATATCATGCTCGGCACAGATAGTACAACAATTAATGTACTGCAATGTACACTTGACCCAAAAATAAGCTCTAGAGCTGCTTATTCCATATTGAGTAAGTATGTCCTTCCAATACAGGTAAGAAAATAAAAATACAGTTACAATATACAGTCACTTAATACAGTATATTACTAATGACTGATGTCACTAGCTACCTGTTTATCCAAAAAATTTATATTATGACAAGGTCTGCCATTATTCCTTCTGAGTCTACCCAAAGTAATTTCTGTTGAATCAGCTCGTAACTTCAATAAGCTGTCCATGCTATTTTGGATTCCAAATACTCCTTGTATTAAGGTTTCCCATTTGTTACCTTCCAGTAAAGGTTCCCAATAGTTATTTCTGTTGTTACTTCTATTCTTTGGCCAACATTTTCCGTTGAATTGTCATGATGAGTGATGACGAGTAATTCAACATCATCCTCGTAGATAAAACTCACGTAATTTTTGCAACAAGGAATCCTTGCATCTCTTGTGAGAAGAAAATTCAAAACCAAAGCCCGACTAACTGCAGGAGCCCAAGCAACAGCGAACTGATACTTTAATGGTGCACAGGGTATAAAGAAGTTAGAAATCCAATATGCAACACCAAGAAGTAGAGACTCCACAAGTGATATGCAAAATGCTTATCCAATTATGATACCAAGAAAAAGGGGGGGAAACTGGAGCTGTTTTGCTTCACATCAGGTGGTAGGTGATCAGAAATTTTTTCCCTAAAGCTTATTCTAGAGAAAAATCATATGAAACTCTGCAGCTAAAATGAAATGGATCATTACAATCCGAGAAAAGGTCAAGTTAAAAAATGAAAACTAACCAATATGTGGTATGGCAAAGAGAAAACTAAAAAGATAGAGAGAAGGTCATAATGTGTTGTAAAAATAAGAGATTGATCAACAAGTACGCTCACAANGGATCATTACAATCCGAGAAAAGGTCAAGTTAAAAAATGAAAACTAACCAATATGTAGTATGGCAAAGAGAAAACTAAAAAGATAGAGAGAAGGTCATAATGTGTTGCAAAAATAAGAGATTGATCAACAAGTACGCTCACAACACACACACACACACACAGAGAAAACACCCTAAGAATATGTCACATAGTGTTCGAGAAAGATAAAAAAAGAAGCAGATTTAAGTTCATTGAACCCATTCACAAGCACAAAAGACAACAGATGGAAATTTATTGAAATACTGAAAAACTGTACTTAGAAAGGCTTAAGATTACCAATAATTCCAGATATTGCTGCATGAGGTTCTCTAAGACGAATATCATATGAAGGCCTCCAAAATCGGCCCCTGTCTGTCTCTATTATGACATCCGCTTTTGTCTCCTTCTGCCTCCAAAAATCTATGCTCTTCTCATAAGAAAGGGCACCTTTTGCACATACTCCAGGCATTAAGGCAAGAGGAGCCTCACCACTGTATGAATTAACAGCCTGGGGATTCCCTTTATTTTTATGTATACCAAAACGATACCGCAAGCCAGATTCAGATACAAGGGATGAACAGTCCAATGATATTGACTCAGGAACATCCCAATATTGTCCTTTACAGTCTAAGAAGAGCTCAGGCCATGCTGCTTCCAAAGTAATATCATGATCAGGGAGCTGCATATATGAACAAAAGATTAAGGAGCAGAGCTCACAACTGCCATGCACATTAAAAGGAAGCACACACAACTAGACAGATGCTTGCACACAATGAGTGAAACAACTGAACAAGCAGGACCCATCCAATGAAGCAATCATAGGCTAAACGATATGATCAATAAGCAAAACAAAGTAACATGAAACTTCATGAAGAAAGATACTTTTGGGTTCACAAATTTTCCCAATGATTTTGTATAACTAAAGTTGTACTGCTGAAAGGATATGCTGCTGTGAGAGCATCTCCAAGAGGCTCAATGAACTGGCCTTCTTAGCTATTTTACATAGGCAGACCATAAAACTGAACTCCAACAGGCTAGCTATCACACTATGTATTTTCCATAGCCTTCATTTGGCTGGCTATCTCTGGCGAGGCGGTGGAGCTCGCTAGTTTGTCTTTGCGCCAACAACACCCCCAATTGCAGAAGGTTACTGATGAAGGCTTTTTGGCACAACACCCCCCCAGGAACTGTGAAGGCTTCATCGCATAAGTCTTGCTCCACCGACTGAAACAGGGAGGGCCAAAGCTCAAAAACGCTATAGGAACAAAGCAACTCAACACCATCCAATCCTCTAAGTTCTTGTACAATTCGGTAAATTTTGAACTCGAAATTGTCTGTATTTCACTATTAGGTTCAATGATTCATGTAAAATNCTGTGAAGGCTTCATCGCATAAGTCTTGCTCCACCGACTGAAACAGGGAGGGCCAAAGCTCAAAAACGCTATAGGAACAAAGCAACTCAACACCATCCAATCCTCTAAGTTCTTGTACAATTCGGTAAATTTCGAACTCGAAATTGTCTGTATTTCACTATTAGGTTCAATGATTCATGTAAAATCCCAAAATCTACGACGTGTAAACCTAGGGTTTCAAGCACCATCAATGGCTCTTTGTTCTCAGCACCATATCTCAGAATTTGGAATGGAGAAAATTCAACAAACCCACAATCTCTCACCCCCTCTTTCCTCTTAAATTCATGTGGGTTTTCCTCAGAATCAGCTAGTTCAACTTGTAGGAAGCTCAGCAAACCCCCCTCAAAATGCAGTAAACTCCTCCAAAGATTCAGCAAAAGCTGCAAAGCCTCCTAAAAAATCCAGCAAAACCCCCCAAGTATTTTATGATATTTACTCTTGTAGTCCATTTTTTATGATATTTATTCTTGTAGCCCATAATTGATTAAATTTATATAATATATAGTTGAATTGCTATTTTTTGAATTTTATTATTGAAAGTTAGTTGAAGTGGTTAGCTAAAATAGATAACGTTGTTAGAATGAATTTGAAAAAGTGGTTAGTTAAAGTAGATAATACAATATTTAAATATATTTTGAGTAGCTATTTTAGATAATATTGTTGGAGTTGCTCTGAAATAAAAGACACATATGTCAAATTGTAAATGTTGTCACATTAAAATTAAATTTGACAGAGAAATTTCAAATTTTAGAATAATCAAACTGAATGGAAAAAAAAAAGGAAAGGGAAAGGCAAACAATACTTTACACACAAATAGCAGAACAGGAAAACAACCAAACTTGCGNAATTTGACAGAGAAATTTCAAATTTTAGAATAATCAAACTGAATGGAAAAAAAAAAAAGGAAAGGGAAAGGCAAACAATACTTTACACACAAATAGCAGAACAGGAAAACAACCAAACTTGTGGGCAGTACTAGTATACAGATTAAGGAGTTTGGACTTGAACTCTTGACATGCTTGCCTTATGAAAGAGCATAGCCCTGGTTCGGCGTTCCTCCCTCTCGCCATGCCTTTCTGTGCTCAACAATAAGGAGGTTGAGGAAGTCAGAGATAGCTGTGAGCATAAGCCGAACGAATAAAGTGATTTGTCCAAGAAATGCTTAGTGACATCTTTAAATGTGGGCAGCTCCCATTCGTCCCCACTGTACACTTCAGCTTTAATTTTAGATACTAATTTCTTTGGACGAAATTGCGTAATTAGTCCGAGCCACCTACACATCCACAGGTTATAAACACAAGACTAGTATGTCAGCTATGAATATTTGAATTATACTTCGAGAGCAAAGCTGTAAAATAGCCACTTGAGAAATCCCATTTCGGTTGCTAATCAAGTTCCACAAGTAATACTCCTGTTATTGTTTAACTTCCATCTTTTACAATTCTCTCTCTGTTTTCAAATCTTTCAGTTTTCCCTCCTCTTTATCTCTCTAGCACTGATAAAGATTATACGGTCCCTGCTATTATCGAACTACATGGGTCTCCAGTTAACAGTTAGGAATGCCTGGTTTAAGCAAAAAGACTCAAAAAAAGAAACAAACAGGCTTATCAAGCCCATTACAGCACCTTAAACATTAGCCAACAACATCATATACACACAAAAGATAAGGCAAGTTTTCTCTCCTAAACCAAGCATAAAATAGAATCTCACATAGAATCATATACAATAAACAACGATAGAGTGACACCAAAAGATGAAAAGGGTATTTGAATTACCAGTTGGCTGTGATTGTTTGAACAAGAGAGACTGGAGGGAGAAAGAACCCAACTCGTTCTGGGTAGCCGGAGAGTAAGAGGGTATAATACCCAGAGGAAACCCATTACCCAGAAGCGAAAGCTGTTGAATTCTGAGTGCTCGGCTGGCTCGAGACCCATCAAGAGGGAATGGCTCCCCGGGGATAGACCGAGCAGTTGCGTCTACGGTTTGTGGGGTGGCAATGTTTTGGTCCCAAAAGGCCGAGTCCATGGCTGTTCTCAGGTTCGCCATTTTCAGGCCGGTTTGGTGAGGTCTGACCGTCTGAGGGTGGTGTGGTCTTATCTACGAGTAGGGTAATTTTGAAAATGGAAGGGAGGGTTTGGGGTTTTGGGCATTTTGGGGGTTTTGTTTGTTTGTTTGTCTATTTATGTTGTTTGTTTATTTTCGTCCCTAAATTCTTAAAATTTACATATTGTCCCTTAATTACTTGAATTATTTCATATTGTTCCAAATACAAATATCCTTGATTTTTTTGAAAGAAAATTACTAACGTGTCAAAAGAAAGTGAAAAAATTCACATAGTTCGGGAGAGAAAATGGTCCGTTTGGAATTGACTTTTTTAGCGTGAAACAGAAGTTTGAAAAGTTAAATTAAAAAGTCAGTGCTAGAAAAACTCTTAAAACTATTTGGAGTGTTTTCGAATAAGTCAATTTTTTCTTGAATAAACCAATTTTTTTCTTGGTATTGATAAAAGTTATTTTTACTCAAAAGCTGATGAAAAAATCGCTCAATAAATTTAAGTCCAAATGGACTAGGTTTTTTTTCCTTTGAATACTCTAAACTTCAAACAGACCCAATATAAAAATTTATCAAATTTACAATTGACGATTACCATTTGGATAATATGAATCTAATCACATAGTTAAATATGTATTGTGCAAAATATGATAATTAAAGAAATACTAAAAAAAAGTCAAAATTGAGGGGTTAAATATAATTTACCTTTATTTGTTCGCTTTAATTGCTAATTGGCCTTTGTAATGGACTTATACGCTGGCACTAGTAATTTGACATTTTGCTTTTGGAGCTATTTGAGAGAGGAAGTATATATCTCTGGGATGTGGATAGGGCTCATAATCAAGCCGAAGGTTGTAAGTTAGTTTGCAAGTTCGAGACTTCAAGTTGAGTTTTTTAAAGTTTGTTTAAAAAAATTATTCGGATCGAGTCTTATATGAATTGAAATCAAGTTAAGTCCGACTAATTTGACTCAATCATCTGTAGATTTATGGAACTTTTTGTAATATGAACACATTGGGTTATTTTATTTTCCTACTAGGGACAATCTATGCATTGTCATAGTACAAGGTAAATGACTTTGAAAAAGATGTTAGTGGTCGTTGGATGAGTCTATTTGAAATCGGATAAATTTGTTGAAGATTATCCAGTTTTATATTATAGATTATAGATCCTCTTGCCTTTTTATTTTGGGTTAATACCACTTTTAGTTTTTAAAATATGTATATTTTTGTTAATTTGATCTTTAAAATATTAATTTTATCAATTTAATTCATAAAATATTTTATTTATATTTAAATGATTCTTACATAGACAATCTATTAAGTTTTTAACAGAATGATCACAAATAAGACACGTGATATCGTTTGAAATAATCACACATGATCGCTTCTGTTAAAAAAATTAATGAATTATCTGATTAATGATCAAAATAATAGAAATTAAAACTTTAAGAATCAAATTGACAAAATTAACATAATAAGTACAAAATCGACATATTTTAAAAACTAAAAATACTATTAACCCTTCTATTTTAAGAAAACTTTTTTATAAACACCTTTAATAGACTAAATCTACTGCCATACAATTTAAGAAAACCGGGAAGTCTTCTCTACCGAGATAACTAATTTAAATAATAAATTAATTATAATATAGCAATGTCCTAGTTGAACTAGGATTGAATGACTACTTTATGATTAGGTTAATAAATTAGGGAGAGGGCCGTTAATGGAGTTTTTGGGCTCTGAGACTAAGTCATCATGTATTGGTGATTCTTCTTCTATGGATGAACATTCCAGGATCAGTTCTAATGAAAACAGTGATGGGTTTTCTCGAATCAAATCGAAAAAACCAATCACTAGGAAGACGATCAAACATTCGACAAAACGAAAAAGACTCGAATGGCTTCCTGCTGTCCCTAGTTTGGTTCCTGAACCTGAGTTTTGCCCTGAAGCAATAACTGAATACACGTCTAAGTTGGACAAGTCTTCAAGCTCTTTGGCATTGAAGGCAAGGAAACATCTTTCATATTTGGGATGGAAGATCGAGTTTGTGAGAGACAATGACAAGCCAAGACTACGATATATTTCACATGATGGCAAGTGTTACCTTTCGCTTCGCCAGCTCTGTCTCGATTTGAGGGACACTGGTTCAGTTTTGATTTCCCAGGATGATCATAGCAGTTATGTTCCTTCTTGTGGTGGTTGGGTCTCATCGCCACTACTAAGTACTAAAAAACCATTATCATGCAAGGAGGAACCAGTACCACCCAAGGCCAATGTGGTTTCTCATTTAAATGGAGTTGTGGTTGAGCCTGAGTACTGTCCTCAGGCAGTAGAGGAGTATTATTTGGCAGGATCAGAGGACAAAAATGGCGGTCGTGTGTTGAACAGAGATGTTAAGATTGGGGGTGTGAGTATGATATTGAAAGCAAAGAAGCACTTGTCAGCTATCGGGTGGTCGTTTCATTATGTCAAGAAGAGAGGTGGCAGGGAATTGAGGTACTGTTGTCCCGATGGAAGAGTGTTTTATTCTCTTAGAACAGCCTGCAAATTCTGTATAGATGAAGGGGGACACTCTAGTTCTGATACGAAGGTTCATAATTCTGAAAGAAGAGAAAACATTAATGTCAGCAAGGAAGCTATGAACCAGTTAGCTGTTGAGGGATCATCGACTCCAGGAATGGAAAGTCAGGGAAGTTTGGTAGCTGCTGAGAGATCATTGACTCCAGGAGTGGGAATGCAGGGAAGTTTGGTGGCTGTTGAAGGATCATCACCACCACGAATGGAAATTGAGGGAAGTTCTGTATCAGAGGATGCAATCCCGGAGAAGCAGGCAACAGATTCTTCTTGTAAACGACTGTCAATGGAACTTGGTATTGTCAAAGGAATTAAAAAACCCAAAAAAAGAATAAAAATTGGTGTACTAAAGTCTGCATTTCCCTTCAAACAAACAATCACAAATGGTGATTCAACACTGGAGAGGAAAGGAAAGGAATCTAAAGCTTCGATCAAACAAAGAAACAACATGGATGGTGATTTTTCTGCTTTTGTGGTGCCACGGGAGGTGGCTGTTCCTTCTTCCTCTCACCACCACACCCCTAGGACTGTATTGTCATGTTTAATAGACAATAATGTGGTTTTGCCCTGGGCCAAAGTATGTTATCGTGGCAGAAAGGATGGTCTTCCAATGGCAAAAGGGCAAATTACTCGTGATGGGATCAATTGCAGTTGCTGTCAAAAAGTTTTTACTCTTAGTAAGTTTGAAGCTCATGCTGGTAGTACTAATCACAGACCTTCAGCCAATATTTTTTTAGAGGATGGCAGGTCACTGCAGCAATGCCAATTGCAGTTGAAACTTGATAATAATCAGAGAAGTGTAATGAGAGAACCCCCTGAGATGAAGGGTACTTGGCATGACAGCTCAAATGATTATATCTGTTCTGTTTGTCACGAAGGCGGTGAATTGATTTTATGTGATCAGTGCCCATCCGCGTTTCATACAAGTTGCCTCGGTTTGAAGGATGTTCCTGATGGAGACTGGTTCTGCCCACCATGCTGCTGTGGAATTTGTGGTAAAGGCAGATTCAATAAGGACAGTGAACGATTTACATTCAATACTGTTCTCAGTTGTGATCAGTGTGGGCACCAATATCACATAGGGTGCCTAAGAAAAAAGGGTATTGTAAAGGTGTATTGGAGTAAGAAAAAAAATTGGTTTTGTACTCAAAAATGTGAACAGGTGTTTTTGGGGCTGCACAGGCTTTTGGGGAAACCAGTTCCAGTTGGGGAGGATAATTTAACTTGGACTTTAATGAAATATGTGGAGTCTGGTGGTTGTGGCCATGGTGCTTCTGATATTGAGGCTTCCATGGAGAATTACAGCAAACTCAATTTTGCTCTTGGAGTGATGCATGAGTGTTTCGAGCCTGTCAAGGAGCCTCGAACCAGGAGGGATCTTGTTGAAGATGTGATTTTCAGTAGAGAGTCGGAGCTGAATCGTTTGAACTTCCGAGGATTCTATACAGTGGTTTTGGAGAGAAACGATGAGCTGATTACAGTGGCTACTGTCAGGGTGTTTGGCGAAAAGGTTGCAGAAGTACCACTTGTTGCTACACGGTTTAAATATCGTAGACTTGGAATGTGTCAAATTCTGATGAATGAGCTTGAAAAGCAACTCAAGGAATTAGGTGTGGAGAGGCTTACTCTGCCTGCTATTCCTGGTGTGTTGAACACATGGACCAGTTCATTCGGGTTTTCAAGGATGACAGAGTCCCAGAGATTACGCTTGCTAGACTACACTCTCCTCAATTTCCAGGGTACCACAATGTGCCAAAAACTGCTACTGGAAAATCCTTCCAAAAGGATTAGGCCTAGCAAAAGGAATCAAGAACAAAGTTCATGATCATGGTAGCAATGGAATAGTATAAGTTAGAGTTCTTCAATTATTTTGATGACTTCTATTTTAATTCTTAATTAGTCTTAATCACATTCTTCTTCTCCACTCTGTGGTTCACCAAAGGGGAGAGATCGAGCTTCAAGAATAATGAACTATGTTATCAATACATAAATGTATAACTCCCAAGGATTTCAATTGCGCTCATATATGTAGGAATTGGGTTCAAGCTTTGACGTGTCCTTCTCATCTATGGACTCTTGGTGAATACCGGTTCATTCAATAAATTCCTACCTCTCTATCTATCTGTGAGATGTTTGGATTTTTCAAAACGCTATGGGCATGTCTGAAAATCTTATTCCAACTGTTCTATCTTATTTTCTTATCAAATCAATGGAAAAACTAATTGTGAGTCAGTAAAAACTATTACTTTTTACCTTTTTTTCTGTACAGTTGATGCTACTATCCAATAATGATGGAGAAAAAGTTATGACTCAACGGGATCAAGTTATAGGATGGATTCAAAAAACTTGGAGATTGATCCCAGCTTTTTAAGTGCAGTCTTGTGTTTTTTTTTTCTTCAGATCAATCCCTAATTTTTCGAATCTTATTGAGTTCTAAAGTGAAACATACTATGACCGTAACTTGACGTTCTGAATTCTTTTGGGACACAATTCCCCCC